ATGAGGACACACATATTTTTTCTTCAGCAAGTGCTGGTACTTTATGTGATGCTATAAAGGAAAAGTGAAAGGTTGTAGACTCTCTCTTTACATGGCTAAGAGAACAGCTGAGACACATTGATCCCAGATGGCCTCTCAGCAGGTGTCCTGGTGTCAGCTGGGATAGAGTTCATTTTCTGCTTAGTAGCTGGTACAGTGTGTTTTGGATTTACTGTGAGAATAATGTTGATAACACACTGATGTTTTCGTTGTTGCTAAGTAGCGCTTATCCTAAGTTAAGGATTTTTCAGTCTCACATGCTCTGTCAGAAAGCAGGTATACAAGAAGCTGGGAGGGAGCACAGCCAGGACAGCTGGCCTGAACCAGCCCAGATGTTCCATACCATACAACTTCATGCCCAGTGTGTAAACTGGGGGGAGCTGGCCAGGGCAGTGGGGGGACGATCACTGCTCAGAGACTGGCTGGGCATCGGTCAGCAGGTGGTGAACAATTGTATTGTGCACCACCTGTCTTTCCTTGGGTTTTATCCTTTTGTTGTATTTCTTTTCATGACAATTATTATTATATTTTATTATTTGTTAGTATTATATTTTAATTAAACTGTTCTTATCTCAACCTACAAGTTTTTTCACTTTTTTCCCCCCGATTCCCCTCCCCATTCCACTGAGGGGTGAGGGGAGTGAGTGAGCAGCTGCATGGTGCTTAGTTGTTGGCTTGGGTTAAACCACAACAGCAGGCCACCAGACTCCAATCACTGACAAGACACTCTTGTACCATCAACACAAAGGCTTTGATCTCCATTGAGAGAAGAAAAGCAAACAAATGTGGACATCTAGCAACAGGACAGATAACAAAGACACACGTGGCCACAACTGGCCACAGCTGATTATGCCTACCAAAAACAGAGCATTAGAAAGGACTGCTTCAGTGCCAGTGGAGGATTATCTGCCTGTTCCAAATGGCAGTTCCAAATTGAGTTCCTGCCCTCAAACATGCTATTCAGGAAGTGAAAAATCTCAACCAACCTGCAAGTAACGTGGGTGAGCCAAGACTGTGCCACAGCCTTCCATCTCACAGCGGACATACTGTATTGGAGGCTTCTTCCTAAGAAATCAGTAAGGAAATAGGAAAAGTAGTTAGCTGATGCATCTGAAGCCAGGGCAGCAGTAAGAGAAATGAGTGCATGTGCAGCTCCATGATGTGAGAGCTAAGGATTACTGCTCCAATATTCCTGTGTGGGCCATGCTGATAGAGACTCTGTCCAAGAGTTTCCTCCACTCCTAGTACCACTTGAGGGCTCTCCCCACAGCTGAGAAAACCCCAGGAGACACAGAGTTCCCAGAGCCTCACTGCTGGGCAATGCCAGGCTAGGGATCAACTCAGAAGGTGGGGCAGGGGCAGGGAGGGGGCACTGCTTCAGTTAGAAGAAATCAAACCCACACCTACAGGGAGAAGGGGGAAGGAAAGTAGGGAAGACAAGGCATGCTGCTATCTTTTTTTTTTTTTGTTCCCCCTCCCTTTAAGGCAGATTTCCATACTGTGCAAGCGAGATGGCTTTGAGACAATCAACATATCTGTGCAGGACACAAAGAAAGCAAGTCTTCAGAACACAACTGAGAGAAGGGGATCACTTACCTTCTCTTGGGCAGCCTTGGGCTCTTGTCATCCTTTCTCCTCCTTCCCCTCCTATAACAGGGTTACAGAAACAGAACTGAAAGAAGCTTCCTTACATTGGTAGTGGGCAGAGTTTTTGAAGCATGCGCTATAAAGCAGGAGCATGCTGTAAGAAATACTACAGAACTCTTCTACGCTTTTAGGCTGAAAAGCAACACTGCACTCAGCAAGTCAGCTGCTCTGGCAAGTCAACCACCTGCTCTGGATCAAAATGCCTGAAGAGTTTCTAAGGAAACTCTCTTGTAGTAGACAGGTAGGTTCCCTAAAGAAGTTACGTAACTAGGCCTCCATGCAAACTGTCCCTGCATTTTGCAGAACCGCCACATCACATGGAAGAACACTCCCTGTGGAGCTGTGGTCTCCATGTTTCTGATACCTGGGTGACACTTTTTTCTGCATGACATCTGGTGGCATGTGGCAGACCTCAAATCACCCCACCTCTGCCGCAGTCAGGCTGTGGCTGCACGACTACCTGCTAGGTCCGGTGTACAACACGTTTTTGAATATGGTTGCCTAGCTCAAATGTGTCTCTGTGCACCATTCACAACCGTGCAGATACCAGTAAACAGGTATCAGACAGACACAGCCCAAGAGGCTTTGGTTAGAAACTACCAACTCTTACGCCACAATGGAGCAAGGAATGGCTGCTTTAAAAAACCCTCAACCAGACATCACACACTTCACATTTTTTTCTTTTAAATCTGCAACTGTCCAAACAACTTCTGGCCTTATAATCAAATTCATCCCTTTCCAGGCTGCACATCAGCACACAAGATTCTGCTCTTAGAAGTTTCTGTTGCAGACAGTTAGCAAGGTATTGTTTCATTAACTGCAAGTTCTTGGAGGGGGTGGGGGGTGGGGGAAATCAATCGAGTGCAAGTTAGAGGCAGATTCAGAGGAAGGCAACATTCTTGAGAAATAAATGCTTCACATGGTTTGGTCTCACAACCCCTCCCATGTCCTAATGCATTTTTATAAACATGTTATTTTGCCAACACAGTCCACAATTGATGGTGCACCGTATTTCCTCTGCTCTGTTGGGTGACGTTTCGTATCCTGTGAAAAACATCTATCTGCATGGCTAGGAAGAATGGGATTAATGATCTAGCAGCTATTTTAAAGTCCTCTGAATTAACTATAGTAGTTTATACACCTGCCAAGACAAAAAAAAAAAAAAAAAATCTATGTTCCATCTGAGCAGACCTATGCTTACATGTAAAATGCACCCTCCCAAGCAATAGCTCTGCCCAGAACATCGTGCCTGCTTGATCATATTGCTGCAGAGACACTGACAGTAGATTGATGGAAGTCCTTCCGAGACATCTTTATTGATAGCAAGACCATGCCAGTAATATGCCGAACAGGCACTCGGCATTAAAGCCAAGCCTTCAGAAGAGGCACAGGTTTTACTATGCACAAAAGTAGTGTCTGATCCAAACAACACAACCACAAGCCTCAGGAAGCCATCTCTAACAGGAAAAAAAAGTTCTCAAAATATCAGCATCCTTACTCGCCTCTCCAATGTAAATCAGCTCTGCAGCAGCTTAGAAACAGCAAGAGAAACTAAAAGGAAGGTGTGCAGAGCCCCACGTCGCAGACCAGCAGAGGGAGTCCCATTCGTTCCAATTGCTCACAGAGGAGCTAAAGTACAAAAGCCGCTTCCTCCCCCCGCCGCCGCCCCCCAGACAATCCCAGAGAACGGCTTTGACAGACACATAGATCCAATCTACCTCGGTTGCCAGAAGGAAAGCTTCAGTGTTGAGTTCCAGTGACAGCATACCCAAAGGTTTCAAGTCTCCACTCAAAGCATTAGTGACTGACTAGGTAGCAAAACTTTCTTCTTTTATTTCTCCAAAACGAGGGAGAACACAGTTGTTTTTCCTGTGCTCTGGTATGTTAGCCCCAAACGTACAAAGAGGACACTTACTACACAACATGTACAAAGTATTCCCGTGTCTGCCTCTATGCACACAACAGAAGAGATGTTGCCTTCTCAGACTGGCTTTCTAATATAATCTAATCCACTTCAGACATCACAGCAGAAATGAATTTTAAGAATGCTCTAAACTATTTCGCACCGTGTGGCCATATCCAGGTAGGCTGACTACACCACAGTATGGAGAAAAACCTCTCAACTTAAACTAAATGAAAGTACCAACTCTTATTTTTCCTTGCCGAACATGCACAAGATGCTAAGAAGCCCTATTACCTTTCAGGCCCAGAGGAGGAAGGGGGAAGCCAACAACAACAAAACCCTGTTGTACACTAGCAAGAATGCTAAATACACAATATACACTGCTACATATAACTGCGGAGTTTTACTCACTTCCTTGGTGGTTCTTCATCTTCCTGAAACTCATTCTCTTCTTTAACTTCTACTTTAATCTCCTTCTGTTTCTCTTTTTCCTCCTTCCCCTTGCTAACTTTTCTCCTTTGCTTTGGCGCTTCCCTACAAAGATACAAATACAATATATTACTCCAATACTTGTCTCATTGTCGGCTTTTTACAAAGATTTAAGCAAAAACTGGATCGAAGTTCAGGTCTATTTATCAAGTCCCACTTCTAAGCTGAAGTATCAACAAGGATTACGGAAGAACTTGGCAGCCAGCAGGGCTCTAAAGGCTTTAGTCCATTAGAGAAGAACAGTCCTGATAGCTGTAGGCAATATTTAGGAAACATTGTGTCCAATGGGAGCCATTCCACCATAGCTACTAGCTCAGGTTTTTTGGGTCATATTAAGCTCATTCAACTAAGATGTCACAATCTTTTTTTGGTCTAAAACCACCGAAAGTATATAATCCAACATACTTCTCTAGATGGGGTTTGTATGTTTCATCTCTTGGATCATCTTTGAAGGGAACTTCTTCCTCACTGATGAGCATCTCCTCCTCATCATCACTGCTGGGAGAAAAGGAGAACAGAGGACTTTAGCAGCAACAGCCTAAGCACTACTGCAAGAATATTCACACATGATCTCCTAGGATGGGAAAGGCATTATTACACAACACTTTCTCATCCAGCATGACTGCGGAAAGCTAACAGTTTGCACTGACTACGGAGAATGATGACAGCCAGAACAGACAGGCTAGGCAGAACAGCCTCCTCTTGTGAGCCCACCTAACTACGGCATCTGCTCCTGAAGGAACAAAGCTACCAGGTGAATGTCCAGATCAAATCTTACTATCCACTTCTCCACAGGATCTCCTGACATCTGCAGTCCATCTGCAATCCAGACTAAAAATGCAAAGGTCCACGTCTGAAAACAAGAGCTACTGTGCATCCCATAGATCCTTTCACAGAAGCATTTATTTTGAAAAAAGTCAGGCCCTTATTTTCCCTTCTCGAGACACCGAATAGGAAGAAATACCACAAAATAGAGAGTTTCCTACCTGATTCCAGCTGGGGACTGATGCTCTTCTGTGACCTCTGAAAGGAAAAGTCACCATTAGGTTTCAATCTGTGTTCGCTGCAGTGAGCTCATCTGTCTCAAGATACCTCCGTCGACATTCAGTGTCAGGAGTGCTGGTGGCAGAAGGTACTCGTGACCAAGAAGCACCACGCCTGTACCAGCCACAGTCTGCATACAGCTCACAAAGTTACACCCACATCCAGCTCCCTCCAAAGGTTCCGAAGACCTGACTATCTCCAGGCACTTTCATGCCATGGCTTCACACGTACCATATTCAAGCTGGTCTGTGTTTGGCTCCGACTTGCAGATGAGCTGCAGGGAACCAGTCTTGGATCTGGAGGCACGTGAATTCTCACTGTCACGCTGGCGGGCTGCAGTGGCTGACCTGCTGCTACGCCAGCTTCTGCTAGGCCTGGCTGTGCTGACAGGAGAGCTGTGGCTGAGGACACTGGAAACTTCCTCCTCTTCCTTCTCTTCTTTGGGATCTGAAACACCCATTGCAATCTCTTTAATAACGACAAAAAGCATAAATCCCATCATTCATTCACACTCATCTGTGTTGCATGATGTTGAATAGCATAACCGCCCCTGTTTACTCCAATGGGGAAACCACTACCTCTTACAGATTTCAAGCATAGCTCTGCCAAGCCAGACAGGACATACCCCAGGTCCTTACCTCAGCAAGCCTTCATTTAAAACTCTCACCACATTTCCTAGTGCCTCTAAGTAAAGACACAAATATTTAAAAACAGCTTATGTTTTCCTCTGATAAAGGCTTATAAGGTGATTATTTGCTGGCTCTGATCTCCCCTAAGCACTGCAAGATAGACACTCATAAACCTCAGCAACTGCTTTATGAAAGACTAGCTTCAAAATTGGACCACATTAAAAGTCGTGTTTGGAGAATCCCCCAAACACATATTTAATCAGAACTGTACACCTAGTAATAACCCTGAGGAATCTGAGCTGGATGTTTCTGGTCTTATGCTAGAGTAAAAAGCATCACAAGCACTGTTAGCCTGAGGTCTTTGCACTCATTTATAGCTTCTACAGCTGGTTTCTTTTTGGCTGATCTCTGATATGTTTTGGCAAGATAAAAGAACTGGCTGAAATGTCTACGTGAGCAAGTTCACCCCTTAAAAACTAAAATTTCCAAGTACAGTTCACTTGATCTCACCTTTTGGTGCTTGCTGTGACACTGGGCCTTAAACTCAAATGTCTTTTGAAATTTCAGAAACGATGTGCTGAAGAAATTAATTCCAAGTAGCTGGCTATGCTCAGTACTCCAGGTTTGCCACTGCTTTAGTACACAAAGCCACCTGCAGCGCCCTGCAGGGGCTGTGCTCTAGGTTAAGCTCTGACCCACTCCTTTTTACCCAAATACATTTACATTTCTGTCTAGTTTCAGGTGGGTTTCTGCTGCCTAAGCACGAGTCAGCAGTACCACTGAGATGTCTAGGAGTTTATCAAGCATCTGCTGGCAAAGTCAGTGGACAGTCCTATAAGGACTGGCTGGGGAGCAGCTCTGCTACACTGGGAGTCCCAGTGAAGATCAAATTGCACATCAAGCACCAGGAGTGTGCCCTGGCAGTGAGGGAGGACCACAGCATCCTGGGTGCTATTCACAGGAGCACAGTCAGGAAACAGAGGGACACTGTTAATCCCCTTTACTCAGCACTCATTAGACCACATTTGGATCTCCCCTTCCAGTTTTGGACTCCCACCACAAGGCTGTCAACATGTTTGAGGAAGTCCAGAGGGGACCACCAAGATGGCTGGCAGCTGAAACACACAACCTGTGAGAAGAAGCTGAGGGAAGTGTGCTTGTTCAGCCTGGAGAACAGAAACCCCTGGAGGGGGGGACACAACAGCAGCCTTACAACGCACAGGCAGGTTATCAAGTAGCCTAAATCTCCTTGCTGAGGTGCACAGCAGGGAGATGGGGGACAGTGGTCATCAGCTGAAACAGAGAGGTCTGACTGGATATGGGAAAAGCTTTTTACAAAGAGAGAAAGAGACTCTCCTGAGAGTCAAGCACTGGAAGAGGGCCCTAGCAAGGCTGTGCGGCCTCGATAGAATCACAGAATAGTCTGGACCTTTAAACATCACCTAGTCCAAGCCCCCCTGCAATGAGCAGGGTCATCTTCAACTAGATCAGGTTGCTCAGAGCTCCATCCAATCTGGCCTTGAATGCTTCCAGGGATGGGGCATCTACAACCTCTCTGGGAACCTGTGCCAGTGTTTCACCACCCTCATCGTAAAAAATTTCTTCCTTATATCTAGTTTGAATCTACCCTCTTTTAGCTTAAAACCATTATCCCTTGTCCTATCACAACAGGCCCTACTAAAAAGTCTGCCCCCATCTTCCTTACGAGCCCCCTTCAGGTACTGGAAGGCTGCTCTAAGGTGTCCCCGGAGCCTTCTCTTCTCCAGGTTGAATAAGCCCAACTCTCTCAGCCTGTCCTCACAGGATAGGTGCTCCAGCCCTCGGACCATCTTTGTGTCCTCCTCTGGACCCACTCCAACAGGCCCATGTCTTTTTTTATACTGAGGACTCCAGAGCTGGATACAGTACTCCAGATGGGGTCTCACCAGAACAGAGTAGAGGGGCAGAATTCCCTCCCTCAGCCTTCGTGCCACGCTGCTTTGGATGCAGCCCAGGATACGGTTCGCTTTCTGGGCTGCAAGCACACATTGCCGTCTCATGTTCAGTTTTTCATCCATAAGTACCCCCCAAGTCTTTCTCCACAGGGCTGCTCTCAATCCCTTCATCCCACAACCTGTATTGATACCAGGGGTTGCCCTGACCCAGGTGCAGGACCTTGCACTTGGCTTTGTTGAATCTCATGAGGTTCAGATCAGCCTGCTTCTCGAGCTTGTCCAGACTTGACTGGAGAAAGCGCTGAGCAACATCGTGTGAACTCTGTGTTGAACCTATGTTAAGCAGCAAGTGGGACCAGAGATATCCTGAGGTCCCTCCCAACCTGAAATCTCTAATTTTGCATCAAGCCTTTCAAACCAAATGATCGTTTTACTTCTAGCAGGTAGTTTGCTTTGCACGACTCATTCCCCACTCCTTGATTAACAGGGTGGGAATAATCAACATTTGACTGAAAAAATCTGACCGGAATACAGGATGTGAGGCATCACAATTTCATTGTAAAACAGCAACCAAGTCTGATGTCCTGCATGTATAAAGTCCACTTCATCATCAGAGCATGAACTACATCTTCTTTTTGGCTTCTTGGTTTAGCGGATCAAGGTGAACTATGGCTGCTTTACATTTTTAATCCTAATTGCGAACATCTTCAGTTTTTTTGAATGCTAAATCAAATCCAAAGACACTTGAAACCATTCTCTAGAAATTTCCCCCTCAAATGCTACTACACTATCAGTGTTAGCACACACTGGTGCTCTTCCCTTGGAAGATCAGGCATTCAACTGATTTCTTAGCAAGAGCTAGTATTTTAAAGAACAGACTTACGGAGTTGAAACAGACCTCCCTCAGAATACACCTCTACAAAGTACACCACTTACCTAGCAATTTTGCTTCATTTCTCTGAAGTGAAGGTGTTTAATAAGCCTTTACCCATGATTTCTCCTTCTCCAACAGATTCACTGCATGTTTACATGCTGTGAATACCTATGTACCTCCAAGAAAACCTATAGTTAGGAGAAGCATCCAATATTTACTTTGCAGTAGAACTCATAAAGCAATATAGAGCTATTAGTTGAAAATCCTTACAATTCTAGACCCTCCCAACAGGAGGCAGAGGTCCCTATGCAAGGGTCAGAGCTGCACCAGGAAACTTGTATCTGCAAAGTATTCAGCTGCACTAGTAGCTGAAATCAGCACACACCAAGGCTTTACCTGAAATCTAAAATTGCAAAAAGGAAAGTCCTAGATTTTTAATAAATTTTATGTCTCCTCCCCACATCTGCCTTTCCTTTTTCCCCTCACAACAGCAGCTTTCTGATGAATCCAGCCTGCCTCTCAAAAAACAAAACAACAAAATAAAAAAACCAACAACCAAACCAAAATAAAAAAAAAACACCCAAACATACCATTAAATACAGAGACAACAACTGGCTTAGAGAGAAAAGCAGCACTTCCTCCTCCTGCTCCTTTCTTGACTAACACGCCTGACCTGGCATTACAGGTAATCATAAAGCTGTCACTGGAGGTGTTGCAATTTTAACTGTGTTTCAGGATTCTTCCCCAAACTTCTGATGTTAGGCAGCAAGTAAAAGGACTCACATCTGCATTTAGGGCAGGAACATGGCTGTCCTTGTCCCTCTATATCACCAATGGAAGGAGTTAAGAGGTGCCTACCTCTCTCGATTGACTTCACAGGGACCTTACGGTTATTTTCAGTCCTGTCTTGGGTATCACACTTAGCCTGGTTAAATCCAGGCTCTGTGGGTGAACACAGCATTACCTCTCTTCTCTCACAAATGTTTCTACACAGAAAGTCACATTCCTCAGTTAGCAGGATTTGGCTCAGGTCACAAAGAAACAAGAGAAACAAGACAGAGGGAATAAACATTGCTATTACAGATAATCAGGCTCTGCTTTGCCAACAAAAAAAGATGCTGCCTGAACCTCCTGAGACTGAAACATAGGAAAATTTTAAGTTAGAAAGGCTGTAGTCAACTCTGCATTTAAATCTGTATAAACCTGTCAACACCACTAGCTCTGGCTAGCTGCAGTTTCTTTGGAAGAGTTCATGTCCTTCCAGAAGATGCACGGAAAATGGATTTTAGGCCAACATCCTGTTATTTTGTTGCAAGTGTCAACAGTGGTGATGGACACCAGGTGACAAGAACTCGGACTCCATGAGGACAAAAGAATACATGAGACACAATAGGTATCGAGGCACCCTCAGTGCAAAGCAAAAAGAAGCACCAAGCACTTTCTTTTCAGATCAGTGGCTGCAAAACAAATTACAGGCCTTCCATTTGGCAGAGTCTGCCAGCCAGTCGGCACACACAACCTTGGATTAAGATTCAGTGCCGCTGTCTCTTGCCCAAATCACATTTCATGGAGAGGGGGCAACAGAAGCTATGACTTGGCAAGATGAGTCTGCCAAGAAATGCCCCCATGCTCGCCCTCTCCTGTGACTCTCCAATACTGACATCCACCTCATCCCGTAGCCTCTGCAACAGTTAGCTTTGGGAACTGCGTGTATGCCTGCATCTTACAGGAAGTCATTCAAAAGAGATGGGGAAAATCCATTTTCTGAAGTCCTACCAATCCTTTGGATCTTTTGGCTCCTGTGGTTCTTCCTACCTTAAACTCTCCCTTAAGTATGTCACTTAATGATAAACAGCTTTCATTCTGAGGTACTTTCACTATTCTGCTGATTCTTCCCAACGGTCTTTAAGCTTCACTGTGTAGATGGCAGAAAACACATAGATTTGAGCAATGGTACACAAGAGGCATCAAACATCCTTTAATCTTAAAATTTGTGAAGAAAACACCAGTCACTGGGAGAAGG